CAGCACCTGCCCCGACAGTCTATTGAAGGCTACACGGGGGATCTTTGTCTTTGTATGTATGTAGTGCTTACAGCACTTGCCCCTACAGTCTGTTGAAAGCTACACGGGGGATCTTTGTCTGTGTGTTACAGCACTTGCCCCTACAGTCTGTTAAGAGGCTACACGGGGGATCTTTGTCTTTGTGTCTGTGTGTAGCAGAGGTCGCTAATGGGTTTTGATTCCTTACCCGTACCTGGCCGGGTACGGGTAGCCGGGTATTGCGTAGGGTACGGGTATCGGGTACCCGGTTGCGACCTCTGATGTGTAGTGCTAACAGCACTTGCCCCGACAGTCTGAAGGCTACACGGGGGATCTTTGTCTTTGTGTGAGCAGCCATGTTGGATGAGGACGTGGAGGCTGAGCGGCCGCCTGAGGTGGAGGGGGCGCTGACGCAGCTGCTGGAGATGGGCTTCCCAGAGGGCCGTGCCAGCGTGGCGCTGCACTCCAACGAGTGCGTGCACACTCGCTCGCTCACACGCTCACTCACACTCGCTCGCTCACACTCACTCACGCTCACTCACACCCGAGGTGGAGGGGGCGCTGACGCAGCTGCTGGAGATGGGCTTCCCAGAGGGCCGTGCCAGCGTGGCGCTGCACTCCAACGAGTGCGTGCACACTCGCTCACACTCGCTCACACGCTCGCTCACACTCGCTCGCACACGCTCGCTCACACTCGAGGTGGAGGGGGCGCTGACGCAGCTGCTGGAGATGGGCTTCCCAGAGGGCCGTGCCAGCGTGGCGCTGCACTCCCAACGAGTGCGTGCACACTCGCTCACTCACACTCACTCACACTCGCTCACTCACACTCGCTCACACTCGCTCGCGCTCGCTCACACTCGCTCGCACTCGCTCGCACGGATCAAACCTCACTCCTACTCAGCCTACACTTGATCGCTCACCTCACTCACTCCGTCACTCACCGTGTCAGCCGCTCGCTCGCTCACTCATCCGCACTCTCCCCATTCACCTGCTCGCTAACCCGCCCACCCACCCTCACCCACCCTCACTCACCCTCACCCACCTCACTTACCGTCACTCACCCACCCACTTGCCCCCCCCCCCCCCCAGCATGTCGGTGACGCGCGCAATGGAGTGGCTCATTGAGCACGAGCATGACTCAACGGCCGCCACCTCCACCGCCAACCTCCACCACCACCATCGCCACCTCCACCACCACCGCCCCGGCGATCACGGGCCAGCGGCGGCGACGGCCTCGTGGTTGCCGCGCCCCCCGGCGGCCCCCCCGGCGACCTCCCCCGCTGCCCCTCGGTCGCCCAGGGGCGGGGCCCAGGGAGAGGTCGCGACCCCGGACGACCTCACGGAGGTGTTCCGCCGGATCCGGCGCCGGCGGGAGTTCCGGCCGGACCCCATGGTGAGTGCAAGCCCGGCGCGATCGCCGCGATCGCCGCGATTGCCGCAACCACGGCAACCACTGCAACCGCCGCAACCACTGCAACCACAGCAACCACCTCAACCACCGCAACCATCGCAACCCACACCTCGGATTAGGTGGCTACGTGCAGTGCGAAAGAAGTTCAACATGCATGCAACCACCGAAACCGCCTCAACCACCGCAACCAGAGCAACCGCATCAACCGCCGCAACTGGGATCAGAACCCACGGCCGCCCGTATACCAGGCGAGGTAGTTAACATCTCCTAGCCACCGTGATGATGATGAGAGAGAGAGACGCAGACTCCAAATATACAGCAGCAGCAGCAGGCATCATCAGGGTCGGGATCGAACCCACGACCTCCTGTAGACCAGGCGAGGTAGTTAACATCTCGTAGCGACGCTCGCAGGGTGGGTGGGCGTTGCTGACGGGGGCGCTGCTGGTTGTGGCTGTGCCAGAGGTCGCAACCGGGTACCCGATACCCGTACCCTACCCGATACCCGGCTACCCGTACCCGGCCGGGTACGGGTACGGGTAGCCGTTTGCGACCCTGGTGCGGCCGGGTACGGGTAGGCCGTGAGTCACTGGTGAGTACCCGTTTGTCACTCATTTCGGGTAGGGTACGGGTAGAGTACGGGTACCCGTACCTAGCCGGGTACGGGTACCCGTTTGCGATCCTGGTGCGGCCGGGTACGGGTAGGGTACGGGTAGGGTACGGGTATGGGTAGGGTACGGGTAGGGTACGGGTAGGGTACGGGTAGGGTACGGGTACGGGTAGGGTACGGGTAGGGTACGGGTAGGGTACGGGTAGGGGTAGGGTACGGGTAGGGTACGGGTAGGGTACGGGTAGGGTACGGGTAGGGTACGGGTAGGGTACGGGTAGGGTACGGGTAGGGTACGGGTACGGGTAGGGTACGGGTAGGGTACGGGTAGGGTACGGGTAGGGTACGGGTACGGGTAGGGTACGGGTAGGGTACGGGTAGGGTACGGGTAGGGTACGGGTAGGGTACGGGTAGGGTACGGGTAGGGTACGAGTAGGGTAGGGTACGGGTAGGGTACGGTGGGTACGGGTAGGGTACGGGTAGGGTACGGGTAGGGTACGGGTAGGGTAGGGTACGGGTAGGGTAGGGTAGGGTAGGGTACGGGTAGGGTACGGTAGGGTACGGGTACGGGTAGGGTACGGGTAGGGTACGGGTAGGGTACGGGTAGGGTACGGGTAGGTACGGGTAGGGTACGGGTAGGGTACGGGTAGGGTACGGTACGGGTAGGGTACGGGTAGGGTACGGGTAGGGTACGGGTAGGTACGGGTACGGGTACGGGTAGGTAGGGTAGGGTACGGGTACGGTACGGGTAGGGTACGGGTAGGGTAAGGAATCAAAACGCGTTTGCGAGCTGGGCTGTGCGGGGCAGGCGCTGGCGGCGCTGCTGGAGATGGGCTTCGAGGAGAAGGACGTAGTGGAGGCGCTGCGAGTCAACGGCAACAACCAGGAGGCCGCTGTGAGTGCTGCTGGGGTGTGTGTGGTGTGTGTGCTGTGTGAGTGCTGGTGTGGTGTGTGGTGGGGTGTGTGTGTGTGTGGGTGTGTGGTGTGTGTGTGGTGGTGTGGTGTGTGGGTGCTGTGTGGGGTGTGTGTGTGGGTGGTGTGTGTGTGGGGTGTGTGTGCTGTGTGGGGTGTGTGTGCTGTGTGGGGTGTGTGTGTGTGTGGGGTGTGTGTGTGTGTGGGGTGTGTGGGTGTGTGTGGGGTGTGTGTGTGGGGTGTGTGGGGGTGTGGGGCGTGTGTGTGGGGTGTGTGTGGTGTGTGTGTGGTGTGAGTGCTGTGTGGTGTGGGTGGTGTGAGTGCTGTGTGGGGTGGTGTGGTGTGGGGTGTGTGTGTGTGTGGGGGTGTGGTGTGTGTGTGGGGGGTGTGTGTGTGGAAAAGGACGTAGTGGAGGCGCTGCGAGTCAACGGCAACAACCAGGAGGCCGCTGTGAGTCCTGCTGCTGCTGGTGTGGGGTGTGTGTGTGTGGGGTGTGTGTGTGGGTGTGTGTGAGGTGTGTGTGGGGTGTGTGCTGTGTGTGAGGTGTGTGTGTGGGGTGTGTGCTGTGTGTGAGTGTGTGTGGGGTGTGTGTGTGTGGGGTGAGTGGTGCTGTGAGGGTGTGTGTGTGTGGGTGTGTGTGGTGTTGTGTGGTCTGGGTGAGTGCTGTGTGGGGTGTGTGGTGTGGGTGTGTGTGTGGGGTGTGTGTGTGAGGTGTGTGTGTCTGGTGTGTGTGTGGGGTGTGTGTGTGTCTGTGGGGTGAGTGCTGTGTGGGGTGTGTGTGTGTGTGTCTGGTGTGTGTGGGGTGTGTGTGTGTGTCTGGTGTTGTGTGGGGGTGTGTGTGTTGGTGTGTGTCTGGTGTGTGTGTGGGGGTGTGTGTGTGTGTGGGGTGGTGGGCTGTGTGGGGTGTGTGTGTGTGTGAGGTGTGTGTGTCTGGTGTGTGTGGGGTGTGTGTGCTGTGTGTGTGGGGGGGTGTGTGTGTGTGTGGGGTGTGTCTGTGGGGTGGTGTGTGTGGGGTGTGTGTGTGGGGTGTGTGTGTGTGTGGGTGTGTATGTGTGGGTGTGTGTGTGCTGTGTGTGTGTGGGGTGTGTGTGTGTGTGGGTGTGTGTGTGTGAGGTGTGTGTGTGGGGTGTGTGTTGGTGTGGGGTGAGTGCTGTGTGGGTGTGTGTGTGTGGGGTGTGTGTGTGTGTGGGTGTCTGTGGGGTGAGTGCTGTGTGGGGTGTGTGTGTGTGTGTGGGGTGTGTGTGGGGTGTGTGTGTGGGGTGGTGGGTGTGTGGTGTGTGGGGGTGTGGTGAGTGAGTGAGTGTGTGTGTGTGGTGTGTGTGTGAGTGAGTGGTGTGGTGTGTGTGTGAGGTGTGATGGTGTCTGTGGTGTGTGGTGGTGTGTGGGTGTGGTGTGTGTGTGGGGTGTGTGTGTGTGGGGGTGTGGGGGGTGTGTGTGTGGGGTGAGTGCTGTGTGGGGGTGTGCTGTGTGTGGGGGCTGTGTGGGGTGTGTGTGTGGGTGTGTGCTGTGTGGGGTGTGTGGTGTGGGGTGTGTGGGGTGTGTGTGTGGGGTGTGTGTGGTGTGTGTGTCTCTGGGGTTGTGGTGTGTGGGGTGTGTGTGTGCGTGTGGTGTGTGTGTGTGGGTGTGTGTGGTCTGTGGGGTGTGTCTGTGTGTGGTGAGTGTGTGTCTGTGGGGTGTGTGTGTGTGTGGTGTGTGTGGTGTGTGGGGGTGTGATGTGTGCGTGGTGTGTGTGGTGTGTGTGTGTCTGTGGGGTGTGTCTGTGTGTCTGTGTGGTGAGTGTGTGTGTGTGTGTGGGGTGTGTGGGTGTGATGTGTGCGTGTGTGTGTGGTGTGTGATGTGTGCGTGGTGTGTGTGGTGTGTGTGTCTGTGGTGTGTGTGTGTCGGGGGGTGTGTGTGGGGTGTGTGCTGTGTGGGTGTGTGTGTGTGGTGTGTGTGTGTCTGTCTGTGGGGTGTGTGGTGGTGTGTGTGTGTCTGTGGGGGGTGTGCTGTGTGTGTGGTGTGTGTGGGGTGTGATGTGTGCGTGGTGTGTGTGGTGTGATGTGTGCGTGGTGTGTGGGGTGTGTGTGTGTGCTGTGTGTGTGTGTGTGCTGTGTGTGTGGGTGGTGTGTGATGTGTGTGTGTCTGTGGGGTGTGGTGTGTGTCTGTCTGTGGAGAGGTGTGGTGTGTGTGTGGTTCTGTGGGGAGTGTGTGGTGTGTGTGGCTGTTGGGGTGGTGCTGTGTGTGTGGGGTGTGTGTGGTGTGTGTGTGGTGTGTCTGTGTGGTGTGCGTGATGTGTGCGTGGTGTGTGTGGTGTGTGTGTCTGTGGGGGTGTCTGTGGGTGTGGTGTGTGTCTGTCTGTGGGGTGTGTGTGGTGTGTGCGTGGTGTGTATGGGGTGTGTTGTCTGTGGGTGTGTGGTGTGTATGTGTGTGTGTCGTGGGGTGTGTGCTGTGTGGGGTGTGTGTGGTGTGGGGTGTGCGTGTGTGGGGTGTGCGTGTGTGGGGTGTGCGTGTGTGGGGTGTGTGCTGTGTGGGGTGTGTGGTGTGCGGGTTTGTTGGTGTGTGGGGGGGATGTGTGCGTGGTGTGTGGGGGGGGTGTGTGTGGTGTGTGTGTGGTGTGTGTGTGTCTGTGGGGTGTGGTGTGTGTCTGTGTGGGTGTGTGTCTGTGGGGTGTGTGTGTGTCTGTGGCGTGTGTGTGTCTGTGGAGTGTGTGGTGTGTGGTGTCTGTGGGGTGTTTTGCTGTGTGTGTGTTGTGTGTATGTGGGTTGTGTGAGTGGCTGCTGGTTGACTGTGCTGTGTGGTGCGTGCTGCACACTGTGTGTGTGCGCTGTGTGTGTGCTGCACACTGTGTGCGTGTGTGTGTGCGCTGTGTGCGCTGTGTGTGCTGTGCGCTGTGTGCGCTGTGTGTGTGCGTGCTGTGTGTGTGCTGTGTGTGAGTGCTGTGTGTGAGTGCTGTGTGTGCACTGTGTGCGTGTGTGTGCGCAGTGCGAGTGGCTGCTGGGGGAGCGCGCTGGCGCCGCCTCCGAGGGCGGGGAGGGAGGCTTGTCCCCGGCAGCCCGCTGCTCCAGGCCATCCTGGAGAACCCCGTGGTGCAGCTGGGACTCACCAGGCCCAAGAACCTGCTCGGTACGGACACTGCACCTCCCTGCAGCTACCTCCCTGCACCTACCTCCCTGCACCTCCCTGCAGCTACTCCCTGCACCTCCCTGCATCTCCCTGCAGCTACCTCCCTGCACCTCCCTGCATCTCCCTGCAGCTCCCTGCAGCTACCTCCCTGCACCTCCCTGCAGCTACCTCCCTGCACCTCCCTGCACCTCCCTGCAGCTACCTCCCTGCACCTCCCTGCAGCTCCCTGCAGCTCCCTGCAGCTACCTCCCTGCACCTCCCTGCAGCTACCTCCCTGCACCTCCCTGCATCTCCCTGCAGCTCTCTGCAGCTACCTCCCTGCACCTTCCTGCACCTCCCTGCAGCTACCTCCCTGCACCTCCCTGCACCTCCCTGCATCTCCCTGCATCTTCCTGCATCTCCCTGCACCTCCCTGCATCTTCCTGCATCTTCCTGCATCTCCTGCACCTCCCTGCATCTCCCTGCATCTTCCTGCATCTCCCTGCACCTCCCTGCATCTCCCTGCATCTCCCTGCATCTTCCTGCATCTTCCTGCATCTCCCTGCATCTCCCTGCATCTTCCTGCATCTCCCTGCATCTCCCTGCATCTTCCTGCATCTCCCTGCACCTCCCTGCATCTCCTGCATCTCCCTGCATCTTCCTGCACCTCCCTGCATCTCCCTGCATCTCCCTGCATCTCCCTGCATCTCCCTGCACCTCCCTGCATCTCCCTGCATCTCCCTGCACCTCCCTGCATCTCCCTGCACCTTCCTGCATCTCCCTGCATCTCCCTGCACCTTCCTGCATCTCCCTGCATCTCCCTGCATCTCCCTGCATCTCCCTGCATCTCCCTGCATCTCCCTGCACCTCCCTGCATCTCCCTGCATCTCCCTGCATCTCCCTGCATCTCCCTGCACCTTCCTGCATCTCCCTGCATCTCCCTGCATCTCCTGCACCTTCCTGCATCTCCCTGCATCTCCCTGCATCTCCCTGCATCTCCCTGCACCTTCCTGCATCTCCCTGCATCTCCCTGCATCTCCCTGCACCTCCCTGCATCTCCCTGCATCTCCCTGCATCTCCCTGCATCTCCCTGCATCTCCCTGCATCTCCCTGCACCTTCCTGCATCTCCCTGCATCTCCCTGCATCCCTGCATCTCCCTGCATCTCCCTGCATCTCCCTGCACCTTCCTGCATCTCCCTGCATCTCCCTGCATCTCCCTGCACCTTCCTGCATCTCCCTGCATCTCCCTGCATCTCCCTGCATCTCCCTGCATCTCCCTGCATCTCCCTGCATCTCCCTGCACCTTCCTGCATCTCCCTGCATCTCCCTGCACCTCCCTGCACCTCCCTGCATCTCCCTGCATCTCCCTGCATCTCCCTCCCTGCACCTCCCTGCATCTCCCTGCATCTCCCTGCATCTCCCTGCATCTCCCTCCCTGCACCGCCCTGCATCTCCCTGCACCTCCCTGCATCTCCCTGCATCTCCCTGCATCTCCCTGCACCTCCCTGCATCTCCCTGCATCTCCCTGCACCTTCCTGCATCTCCCTGCATCTCCCTGCACCTCCCTGCATCTCCCTGCACCTCCCTGCATCTCCCTGCATCTCCCTGCATCTCCCTGCATCTCCCTGCATCTCCCTGCAGCTCCTGCATCTCCCTGCACCTCCCTGCACCTCCCTGCATCTCCCTGCATCTCCCTGCACCTCCCTGCATCTCCCTGCATCTCCCTGCACCTCCCTGCATCTCCCTGCATCTCCCTGCACCTCCCTGCACCTCCCTGCATCTCCCTGCATCTCCCTGCATCTCCCTGCATCTCCCTGCATCTCCCTGCACCTCCCTGCATCTCCCTGCATCTCCCTGCATCTCCCTGCATCTCCCTGCACCTCCCTGCATCTCCCTGCATCTCCCTGCACCTCCCTGCACCTCCCTGCATCTCCCTGCATCTCCCTGCATCTCCCTGCATCTCCCTGCATCTCCCTGCATCTTCCTGCATCTCCCTGCACCTCCCTGCATCTCCCTGCATCTCCCTGCATCTCCCTGCACCTCCCTGCATCTCCCTGCATCTCCCTGCATCTCCCTGCATCTCCTGCATCTTCCGGCCGGGCGTTCGTTGGGTGCGTTGGGTGGTGCTGGCCGCCCACCCCTCGTGTGCCGCTGTGCCGGACTTCATAGGCGCTGCTACTCGCTAACAGCACTTGCCCTACAGTCTGTTGAGGCTACACGGGGGATCTTTGTCTTTGTGGTGCTGGCCACCCACCCACCCCCTCGTGTGCCACTAACAGCACTTGCCCCCGCACAGTCTGATGAGGCTACACGGGGGATCTTTGTCTTTGTGGTGCTGGCCACCCACCCACCCCTCGTGTGCCACTAACAGCACTTGCCCTCGCACAGTCTGATGAGGCTACACGGGGGATCTTTGTCTTTGTGATTCTGGCCACCCACCCACCCCCTCGTGTGCCGCTGTGCCGGCCTTCATATGCGCTGCTACTCGCTAACAGGACTTGCCCTCGCACAGTCTGATGAGGCTACACGGGGATCTTTGTCTTTGTGATTCTGGCCACCCACCCATCCCCTCGTGTGCCACTGTGCCGGCCTTTTATGGCGCTGCTACTCACTAACAGCACTTGCCCCAACAATCTGTTGAGGCTACACGGGGGACCTTTGTCTTTGTGGTGCTGGCCACCCACCCCCTCGTGTGCCACAGTGCCGGCCTTCATAGGCGCTGCTGCTTGCAGCTACTCGCTAACAGCACTCGCCCCCAACAGAGTTCCGTGGCAAGGGCTCACCCCGGGGTTTGGCCTGTGCGTTGTGCCGTGGGTGCAGCGTTCGAGGACATGCTGGAGAACCCGGTGAACAGCGCCCAGTGGATGAACGACCCGGAGACCGGGCCGGTCATGCTGCAGATCTCACGCATCTTCCAGACGCTCAACCGGATGTGATCCTGTCGCTCACACACCCACTATGCTCCACCCACCACGCTCCACCCACCACGCTCCCACACACTCCACCCGTCACGCTCCCACCCACCACGCTACACCCCCGCCACGCTCACACCCGCCACTAATGGCAGCGTACTCACGCACGGAGACAGCTGCCACTAGGGGTGCCCCTAGGCGAGCCCACACAGCGGCAATCATCCCCTACGGCTGGCAGCGGACTCACGACCCAGGTCAAAACGCCGACTCCTGGTCTCGTGACTTCTCACCCGGTGACACAAAACCAACGTGAACTCGCTCACCTGTACACCGACCCTCCGTTCCACCCTTCACACACAACCCGCGCGCGCCCTCTCTTACCTTACACCCTCGGCACATGTAAACACATTGTCCTGCGGAGGGAGCTGGTAGGAACACGTTGGGTTGCTCGGTCAATGGCCTGCAGGGTCAACGGCCAGGGCGTGGTGTTCCGCAAATATGCCCGACCTGTGAGGGCGGGCACAAGCCGGCGTGAGTAGGTTAAATGTTGAGTTTTATAAGGGCACCACGGGGTGACCAGCCCCACCCCACCCAGCCCCACCCCTCCCACCCACTACCCAGCCCCTCCCCACCCTCCCCACCCAGCCCCACCCTCTTCACCCTTGTAGACCAGGCGAGGTAGTTGACATCTCCTAGCCACCGTGATGATGATGAGAGAGAGAGACACGCAGACTCCAGATATACAGCAGCAGCAGCAGCAGGCATCGTCAGGGTCAGGATCGAACCCACGACCTCCTGTACACCAGGCGAGGTAGTCGACATCTAGCCACTGTGATGATGATGAGAGAGAGAAAACACAGACCTCCTGTAGACCAGGCGAGGTAGTTAACATCTCCTAGCCACCGTGATGATGATGATGAGAGAGAGAGACACGCAAACTCCAAAATACAGCAGCAGCAGCAGCAGGCATCGTCAGGGTCGGGATCGAACCCGCGACCTCCTGTAGACCAGGCGAGGTAGTCAACATTTCCTAGCCACCGTGATGATGATGAGAGAGAGAGAGACACGCAAACTCCAAATATACAGCAGCAGCAGTCATCGTCAGGGTTGGGATCGAACCCACGACCTCCTGTAGACCAGGCGAGGTAGTCAACACTCCTAGCCACAGTGATGATGAGAAAGACACGCAAACTCCAAATACACAGCACAAGCGTCAAGGTCGGGATCGAACCCCCGACCTCCTGCAGACCAGGCGAGGTAGTCAACATCTCGTAGCCACTCACCCTGGACCTTCACCTCTCTCAGCTCCCCACCCCCTCCGTCCCTCACTCACCCGGCCGCCACACCCCCCACCACGTGGGGAGCCAGGGGCCACGTGTCTGCCCGGGCCCCGCCATGCAGGGGGCCTCCCTGCCGCCGTGCTCCCTTCCTGCCCAACATGGACATCGTCTTGTTGAGGCGGTCATCGTGGGCATCCAGCACGCCCCCCCCCACCCACACGGGACATTAAGTTGCCGGGGTTGGCCAGTTGTGTGTGCGCGTGCACGTGTGTGTGTGTATGTGTGCGTGTATGTGTGCGTGTATGTGTGCGTTGTGTGTGTGCGTATTGTGTGTGTGTGGTATGTGTGTGTGTATGTGGGTGTGTACGTTGTGTGTGTATGTTGTGTGTATTGTGTGTGTGTGTATGTGTATGTATAGTGTGGAATTCCAAAAAGACCTACATCTCTGCTTTATTGACCTGGTCAAGGCCTATGATACCATCAGTAGGCCTGGGCTCTGGGTTGTTCTTCGTGCTTTCGGAGTCCCTGACCCTCTGCTCACGATCATTAAGGACCTTCATGATGGTGAGCGGGCCCGGGTAAAACTACGTGGCCGGGAGTCGGAGCCTTTCCCTGTACACCTTGGGGTGCGACAGGGATGTCCTCTGGCTCCCACATTATTTAACATCTATTTTGACCCGCGTAGTTCGTGAAGCCTTCAATAGCTGTACCGGGGGAATTTCCATTTGGTTACAGATATAATGGGAGG